TAATTACTGGAGTTATTACCCTTGGTTTCATTAATGCGATGCATGCGTTCCATGATGTTGTATTGCACTCATTGATCTACCAGTTATGTTGAATGATTTCTCTTTTAATATCAATTACTCACAAATACTTCATATATTTCAATCATACAAACAACTGCTCATTCAATGTGTGACGGGCGTATTATATACCGCTCGCGGTAACCTTGTTAATCTTAAATCTGTATGCTAGATATTGAATAAGGTTGCTTTATTGTTTTTTGTCACTGTGAATAATATTTCAGTTCGTGTTAAAAACAATATCAACTCTCTGTATAAATATTTCAGGTGACCGTTAAGGCCCATGGGCCTCTTGTTTTATATACAATGTATGTGAAAAAAATGTTCTTTAATGTTTAATAATAACTTATTTGATTGTTCATGATCCGTTTATTCATTAAAACAAATTATTCAAGTACATTATATCTTAAAAGGAAAATCAGTAGCTTAAAACATGGGTGGAAGAAGTTAATTCACTATCATTTGTTTTATAATATTGTCTGATTTATGTTTAAACAGGTTTAAGATAATACCGTTACACTCAACCCTGTCCAGTGAAGACCAGCACGCTGTGTTCTTGTAAGTAACTACCTTTTCTGTAATTCATGTTCTGCAAAATAGTCCATTCTATTTCTGGTCTAAACCCCCATGATGTCAATGACAACTCAAATGAATGAATAAAATCTAATTCAAAATATTTCAGGAAGTCTCTGACTTCCTTCACCTAACTGAAAAAAAAGAAAAAATTTGAGCCAGGCATTTTGTTAAAGGTGAGGGTGTTAGTAGTGTATATCACCTTTTATCAGTAAAAGATATCCTGAATGTCAGTACAGAGAAATTTTATACGTGTCCAGAAACCATTGATATATCCTTTTTTCATACATGTTTTTCTATTTTGTTATATTTTGAAAAATTCCTACATGTTCTTTTTTACTCTTGCAGAAAACCTCCAGAGGGTGTTACAAAGATCGTCATAGCAACAAATATCGCTGAGACGTCCATCACTATTGACGACATTGTGTATGTCATAGATGCTGGCATGATGAAGGAAAAACGGTAAATGTATTTTGTTGTGTATTGATGTTACTGGTCTGAAATAATCATCAAATTCCATATATGCAATGTTGTATGAAGTTGTCAAATATCAAAAACAAGTATTCATTAACAACTCTTAACTAGAATGTTCCTACAGGAATCATAATAAAATATATATATCAAAAGTCATCCTTGTTTCAAGCTTTCAGGATATATGTTTCAACATGGTTTAAAGGGTTTTTAAAGGTTCTACACTGAAGTAAAAAATATGAAAATTTGATTTTTTTCACAAATATTGATTTGAAAACCCCTCTGATCCCAAAATGTACTCTTATGGTTAGTAGATTAAGTTGACCTATTTTCCAGCACTTAGGATTTGACATTGATTTTTTTAACACTCCCTATTACTATGCACAGGTATGATGCCACTAAGGGTATGGAGAGTCTGGAGACAGTAACAGTGTCCCGTGCCAATGCCCAGCAGAGGAAGGGACGTGCGGGACGTGTCACTAACGGGGTGAGCTTCCACCTGTTCACCAGCCACAGATACCAATACCACATGAAGGAACAACCCATTCCAGGTAAAATACAATGTGCAGAGAAAAGGCACATTTAAAAAGATGGATTTATATTAGTAACCCAGTATTCTTGTACTATGTTCCTGTACTGAAAGGTGGTTACACTTTGAGAAACTTGTAGGTACTGTGCCCATCAGGACCCTATTTACCTTCTTGCTATGGTACATAATTTTGCTAGATCCTGACCATTTTATTTTAAATTTACTGAGGAATTTGAGATATTTTCATTTTTAATGTTCATTTGAAGTAGCAGACATTATATTCTTCATTAAAAACTTCATGTATTAAGTATCCTATCCTGTGTTAAAGCTTATCTGTTCAGACAATACCATGATAACATACATATACATAGTAGTAATCATTCTCCTGCTATCAATCTGAAGTCTGTTTTGCATGTTTACATATTTATCTATAACTACAATTTGTTATTTTATTCAAAACTTTTGTCTCCCTGTTTTGGTAGAAATACAGCGAGCTCCACTTGAACAGATTGTACTGAGGATAAAAATGTTGGATATTTTCAACAGATTGCATGCACAGGTATGTACAGACATTTTGTTGACTTTAACCAAGTCTTTAGAACTTAAGGTACCAGTCCAGAGGCAGTCTAAAACATCAGTAATTCAAACTTACATCAAATGGGCAGATATTGGTTCAGTGCTTTAGACAATAGCTTTCTACACAGAATGTAGGGGTCCTGTTATGACCACTCCCACCCGCCAACACCACCATCTCAGAAAACAGGGCTTGGGTTGTGGGGGGAGGGGGGTGATATATTAATCGCTTTGTCAGTGTATCTGAGTAGAAAAGTTGCGTACATGATACCTTGTGAAATCTTCAACAGATAAAGTGTTAGTTTATGTTTAAATCAAAGTATGATAAAATCAATTCCTACATTTCATCAGATTTTGGTGGTCATAGTTCACTTCTGGGGGTCGATATATCTAGGAAAGACCCCAACTCATTTCTTTTATTATACTTTTCAAATAATTTTGTGTTTTGTTGCTGTATACAGGAAGTGCTGGAACAGTTACCAGAACCTCCAGAGAAAGAGTCCATCATGGCTGCCATCAGGCGTCTGCAGGATCTGGGAGCTCTTGACGAACAGGATGTAAGATATTTCTGTTACTGGCCCAGTACTTGGAGCTCTTGATGAACAGGATGTAAGATATTTCTGTAACTGGCCCAGTACTTGGAGCTCTTGACGAACAGGATGTAAAATATTTCTGTTACTGGCCCAGTACTTGGAGCTCTTGATGAACAGGATGTTAGATATTTCTGTTACTGGACCAGTACTTGGAGCTCTTGATGAACAGGATGTAAGATATTTCTGTTACTGACCCAGTACATGGAGCTCTTGACAAACAGGATGTAAGATATTTCTGTTACTGGCCCAGTCCTTGGAGCTCTTGATGAAAAGGATGTAAGATATTTCTGTTACTGGCCCACTACTTGCTGGAGCTCTTGACGAACAGGATGTAAGATATTTCTGTTACTGGCCTATGGCCAGTACTTGGAGCTCTTGACAAACAGGATGGAAGATATTTCTGTTACTGGCCCACTACTTGCTGGAGCTCTTGACGAACAGGATGTAAGATATTTCTGTTACTGGCCCAGTCCTTGGAGCTCTTGATGAAAAGGATGTAAGATATTTCTGTTACTGGCCCAGAACTTGGAGCTCTTGACGAACAGGATGTAAGATATTTCTGTTACTGGCCCACTACTTGCTGGAGCTCTTGACGAACAGGATGTAAGATAGTTCTGTTACTGGCCAAGTACTTGGAGCTCTTGATGAACAGGATGTAAGATATTTCTGTTACTGGCCCATGGCCAGTACTTGGAGCTCTTGACAAACAGGATGTAAGATATTTCTGTTACTGGCCCAGTACTTTGAGCTCTTTGAAAACATGGGTGGAACTAAAAAATAACAAATGAATTTAAATGAAATTAACTTGTGAAATTTGATATCACTGTCGTCTGTGAAACATTGCTGATCTATTCTCAATAAAAATTGGAATACAGGATTTCAGGACATTTACCGTAAAAAAAACATGTAATTTGCGCACCTATGTAATTTGCGCAGGTAATTTTTGAGGCTAAAAATCCCCCCAAAAAATTCTATTCAAATTTTTTGCACACCAAAAAAATCAAAAAAATATGTTCAAGTTCCGAAAATCGATCTCTGAAAATGAAAGACAAACTGCTTGGGATTCTTAGGATTTTTAGGTCACCGCCATTTTGAAAAACTATTTCAAACTTAAAGTAAAGTTCTACTTGGCCGATTGAACTGAAACTTTGTAGGAATGATCGAATCATGGTCCTGACAAAGTGTTGTTATTTTTCGGGTCAATCAGAAATACAAATTGGCTGCCATGGCCGCTATTTTGTTAATACCTATTTCAAACTTAAAAACAAGTTCTAATAGGCCGATCTCACTGAAAATCGGTCTAGGAATGATCAGCTCATGGTCCTGACAAAGTTAAGTTAACATTATACTTAACTATTTTTTACTCAAATTGGTACATATTTCAACAACAAAAATAAATACTGTAGGACTCAGGTGACCGTTAAGGCCCATGGGCCTCTTGTTATAATTTGTTTATTGTAAGTGAGTTCATAAGTATTGTTTACAGGTACAATGATGTTAAAACTAAGAGGAAACTGCGTAAAATGTGTATTTTGTTGTTTGTTTCCTTTGAAATATCTGATCACACATGACACACGTGTGCACATATCGGCATACATCAATTCATTTTAGCAATATTTTACATAAAACATTTACTTGCTTACAAACACATATCAATTAATAAGTAATTTAATGTTTAGTAACCGCTGGTGCATATCTCCTGGTGAAAGACATAATTAGATACCTTTTATTGATCATTATTATGATCAGTGAGAAGGGCTCATCATGGCGGCTTGGGTATCGTCACTTCAAACCAGGTCATATCACAGTTCAGTTTGGCGATATTTTTTGGCTACACAATTTTTACCTACTGTAAAATGATTAAAAATCGGTCATCTGTGGTCATGACTGCTGGTTTGGCGACATTTACAGATAAGTTAACCGGAGGGCATAACTTACAGACGTCGTCTGGTCCCGAACAATAGGCCAGATAGGATCGCATGAGATTATCTCATGTCCAAGATGGTGGTCTGCAAGAATCGTCGATCTTTTCATGAAAAAAACTTGAAATTGCTTATACCTATGTATTTTACGCACCCCTCACTTTGGGTATTAAATTTCTGGAAAAAAAGTGTGCAAATTACATGGCTTTTTACGGTATGTTAAGTTCAGGCAAAGGTTTCTCATATTAGGGAAATAATGTTAATTGATCTAAAAATAAATAAATCATGTTTTAATTTGTTACATGTAAGATTTCAGTGTAAGTTTCAGTTACAAAGTATGTGTAAAATGATGCAATATTTGACATAATATAATAAATTGTGTATATTTTGTACTTATATATGTCTGACTAGTCTTAGCTCTAGCCAATGATATTGAAATGCTGTGTTGTATATGCAGGAGTTGACACCATTGGGGTACCATCTTGGCTCACTTCCAGTGGATGTCAGGTAATGTTTAGATGCTCTCTGACTGTAGATGGTTAAACTTGCATTCCATTATTGCAGAATTTTGAGTATCAAATTATGAGTTTAAATTCATACATCTTTTTTCCAGTTTTAAAGTTATTTCAGCATGTTATATCAATAGGATCACATTTTGAAATTGTTCCCCCCTTGATCACATAGTTAACTCATTTACATCTAAAGACAAATTTGAACTCTTTCAATGCAAAGGTTGGAACAGTTCATTATGAAAGTTCAGGGGTGAATAAGTTAATCTTCTCAATGACAATACCAGTTACCCTGTATGTGTAAGGGAATAAAGCTAAGACACAGACAAGGATAACCTTGCTGTTAATATAATGACGTTGACAATGATGAAGCTGCTATTTGTTTGTACAGGGTAGGCAAACTGATGCTGTTTGGTGCTATTTTCCGCTGCTTAGATCCTGCCCTGACCATAGCAGCCTCACTCAGCTTCAAGTCTCCCTTTGTAAGTTAAACAGTCATGATTACCTTATCAAAAAAGCGAGGATTCCAGTTTCATTAAAGTCAAAATCTTGATGTTTTAATACGCTAATAAATGGACTAATAAGTTACTGCATGTCTGTTTAGATTGAAATGACAACCAGTGAATTAATCAAGATATTGCCCTCAGTAATGAGATCTAAATACTAGTAAACTGAATACATTGGAAAAAGTTGGTTTAATTATTTTCCAAAATGTGTACAGTTTATGTCTGTTCCAAGCATTATAATCCTGAGCTTTTTTGGAATAAATCAATGATTTTCTTACATGTAGTTTGTACTTTGAATAAATTGGGGGCCCCAGCATAAGTCACCCCTGCAATAATATGTAGTGGGATACAGCAGGCCGACTCTTCCCCAACACCTGCAGGAACTTCAAAGATTACTATTTTAGTACATGTACAAGTTATTTTATTGCAGTAAATATTTGCGCTCTTATTCAGATAAATATCTTCTGTTTTAGGTCTCACCATTTGATAAGAAAGATGAGGCTACTAAAAAGAAGGTTGAATTTGCCACTGGAAATTCTGACCACTTGACCATGGTGAAGGCCTATCAAGTATGTCCTTATGGATGTCCAGTCCTTAGACGAAAACAATGTTCAGTCCTTAGTGTAATGTAAATTAATCTTCCCGACACAAATCAATTGTTTTCTGACCTTTCTGACAGTGTATTTTTTTCAGATCAGACAAGATTACAGAATACACAGGTCTTATTTTGTACTTTTCATCCGAAATGAGATCACAGCATTATGTTGGTTCAGACAGTGTGCCAGAATTAGGCAAGTTTCACTGTACAAATTTTTTGAAAACAGGTTCAACTTTAATACAATTAATTTTTAGCTCACCTGGCCCAAAGGGCCAAGTGAGCTTATGGCATGGTGCGGCGTCCGTCGTCCGTCCGTCCGGCGTCAACTTTATACTTTAAACAATTTCTTCTCATTAACCAAAAGGCCTGGGGTGATGATATTTTGCCAGAAGCATGCTGGGATGAAGGGCTTCCAAGTTTGTTCAAATAAATGACCTTCATCTATTTTCAAGGTCACAGGGGTCAAATATGTCAAAATCTTTAAGCAACTTCTTCTGAATAACCAAGAGGCCTAGGGTGTTGATATTTGGTCAGTAACATGCTGGGATGAAGGGCTACCAAGTTTGTTCAAACAAATGACCTTGACTTATATTCAACGTCACAGGGGCCAAATATGTTTTTAACCTTTAAACAACTTCTTCTGAATAACCAAGAGGCCGAGGATGATAGTTGGCCAGTAACATGCTGAAATGAAGGGCTAATAAGTTTGTTCAAATAAATGACGTTGATGTATATTCAAGGTCACTGGGGTCAAACATGTTTAAAACCTTTAAACGACTTCTTCTGAATAACCGAAAGGCCTAGGGTGATGATATTTGGCCAGTAACATGCTGAAATAAAGGGTTACCAAGTTTGTCCAAATGAATGACCTTCCTTTATATTCAAGGTCACAGGGATCAAATATGTTTAAAACCTTTAAACAACTTCTACTGAAAAACTAAGAGGCCTAGGGTGATGATATTTAGCCAGTTACATGCTGGGATGAAGGGCTACCAAGTTTGTTCAAATGAATGACCTTGAATCATATTCAAGGTCACTGGGGTTAAATATATTAAAAACATTTAGACAACTTCTTCTGAATAACCAAGAGGCCTAGAGTGATGATATTTGGCCAGTAACATGCTTGGATGAAGGGCTACCAAGTTTGTTCAAATAAATGACCTTGATTTATATTCAAGGTCACAGGGGTCAAATATGTT